AAAAAAAAAAAAAAAAAAAGGCCGCTCCCATTTCTTTGTTCTCCGGCATTGGCCTGAGGCACCTGCTCACTCTTCCAGCCACCCTGTTCCCCTAGTATCCAGGACCCCACGCATGCCCTGTGTTTGCGCTCTGATCTGGATGGCTGGGACTGGGTATTCAGCAGTCCTGGGCTCCTCCCTCCCTGCTGACTCCTCTCCACCCACCGGGACCTGGGGGGAGTGGCGCTCATGTCCCACCAGGCCGGGGCTTGTATCTCACCCTCTTCATGAGGCGCTGGGTTCTCGCAGGTGTGGATGTGGTCTGGATGTTGTCCTGTGTCCTCTGGTCTCTATTTTAGGAAGAGTTGTCTTTGTTATATTTTTGTAGATAAATGTGGTTTTGGGAGGAGATTTCTGCTGCTCTACTCACGCCGCCATCTTGGCTCTGCCTGAGATACATTTTATTTTTACTTTATCAGTTAATGAACATTTGGATTGTTTTCACTTTTTGACTATTATGAAAAATACTATCATGAATATTTATGTACAATTTTTTGTGTGGACATGTTTTCATTTTTCTTAGGAGTGAAATTGCTTGATCATATGGAAACTCTGTGTTTAACAGTTTGAGAAATTCTGTAGTTAACAAGTTGTTTTCCAGATCAGCAGCACCCTTGTACATACCTGACAGGAGTACATGAAGGTTCAAGTTTCTCCACATCCTTGTCAGATTGTTCATTCTTTGTATTTTTTTATCATAGCCATCCTAGTGGGTGTGAAGTGGTATTTTATTATGGTTTTGATTCTCATTTACCTGATGGTTAATGATGTTGAACATCTTTTCATGTGCTTGTTTGTATATCTTTGTTTTGAGAAGCATTTATTCATCTCCTTAGCCCATTTTTTAAACTTTGAGAATATTTCAATGTTTATGGGCCATTCAAGGTTCCTCTTCTGTGAAATGACTTTCTGTCACTTGCTTATTTTTCAATTGTATTGTTTGTCTTTTTCTTACTAATTATAGTTTTTAGTGTGGATATATATCTTTTCATATTTGAAGGTTTTATTTTCACTCTTTGTGGTCTTTTGATGAAAAGAGGATCTTAAATTTATTGTAGTCCAATTATAAATCTTTTCTGTTCTGGTTTGCACTTTCTGAATCTTGTTTAAGAAATCTATCCCTACTCTGCATGAGACAGTGCCAGTATAATACAGTGGTTTAAACAAAGGGCTCAAGAGGCAGATTACTTCAGTTCAAATTACAGCTCTACTATGAAGTGGCTCTGTGGCCTTTGCCAATTTAAGCTCTTTGCCTCAGTTTCCTCACCTATAAAATGGGAATGATACTAATAGCACCTACTTCACAAGGTTGTGAAGAGGAATAAATGAGTTGGCATATTAAATGCTTGAAACTGTATTGGGCACATAATAAGCATTAAGCACTTGCTGTTATTATTTGCATATTTATTCTACCTGACCTAATGTTTTCAGTTCTGTGACACAGAAAATCAATCAGGTCTTTTTTCCATAAAGATAACCAATTACTAAAGCATCGTTTTTTTTTTTTACAACTACTGTATTAGTTTTATTCAATAAGTCCATACATCCCCTTTCCATCAGAATAATTTTTCTTATATTCCTTTAATTTTCTACATGGGACCAGGAATGGCTATCCAGAAACAGGGAAAGGGCAGGGGTATGAGGTGGGGAGACATCAGAAAGGAAGAGGGGTTGGATCTAAGATAAATATGTTGCTAATCTAGTTAGAATTCTGCAATAGCCTAGCAAATATGTATCACTATTATCTGTCTACTCTGACCCCTGGCAATTGTTTACTGTCACCCATAACCAGGGCAACAAAAAAGCCCTATAGCGTTTAGAGACCAGAGCCTCTGAAACAGCTCCCTGGAGTACATTCTCTAACACCATGCTCAGTCCAGTTCTGCTGATGCGCAAAGCCATGCAAACGGCATTCTGGGGCCCCATGTTTACCAAAGTCTCTATAAGAGACCCTCAGGGCAAGTGCATTTCAAAGCCCACATTTGCTGAACGGCAGCAGCTGGCTCTGCTGGACTCTTCAATCCCAGCGGTCAAGTCCTAGGGAAGAACTCTCAGAACCGCCGTCTGGGGTTTCACCTGCTGATGGGCAAAACCACTCCTGGAGAAGGCCAGGATGTGTGTTCTTCTTTCCCAGTGACTCTGATTTTCTTAGGCTCCTTTGCTATCTTTTCTATCTATGGGGAGAGCTAAGTGTTTCTTAGGAGTGTCGTCTTTTGAATCATCTGTCCTTTCCGCATTGTTTTGTTTATGTTTTAGGCTGGTCTCTCCTGCAGCTCTCTGTCCTAATCCACTGGCCTCTTTGTCTCCCCTGATTTTTAATAATTGCCTTATAACTTTAATGCACCTTGATTGCTAGTGGGGTAAATCTCTCTGTATTCACCTTCAAAATTACCTTAGCTATTCTTAGACTTTCTACTTAAACAGGGATTTTAGGATTAGTCTGTCAACTTCCACCAAATCTCTGTGGTTATTTTGATTGGAATTGCACTGAACCTCTAGTTTCATTTGGGTAGAACTGACATCTTTATGGTGTTTTTGCCACTACTAATGAGAGTATAAATTAAAGCACTCAAAAAATGTTTCCTCTTGTACTTCACTTTCAGATGGGATTCTTGCACATACAAGTCTGATAAAAGCCCAGGGAAGTGATGATGCCTTGACTACAAGAGAACCTGGAAACATGAAAATATGAGCTCTGCCTTCTACTTTTGGGAGGGCAAGAGCACACATGAACATGACGAGGGTGCACTATATATTTAGTCCATTATATCCTTTCTACCTAAGTAAGATTTTGCTTCTTCCTGTTGAAATCCTACAAACCTTCTTTTTCTTCCCTAACTGCTTTTGTAGGAAGCTAGAAAAGTATCAAAAAGGAACAGTGATAATGGGCATCTTGTCTCATTCTGATATTAAAGAGAATGATTCTACAGCTCACCCTTAGGTGAAGTAACATGGATTTTACCTAGTTAGGAGTTACCCTTAAATTTTATTTATTTTTTATTGAGGTATAATTGACATATAATATTAGTTTCAGGTGTACAAATAATGATTTGATATTTGTATATATTGCAAAATGGTCGCCACAGTAAGTCTAGTTAATATTTAAAAGTTTGCAAGAGAGTAGGTATTAAAAGTTCTCATAACAAGAAAAAATGATGTAACTGTGTATGGTGACAGATGCTAACTAGACTTTACCCATATTTTAATTGGGCTATTTGCCTTTTTATTATTGAAGTGTAATAGTTCTTTACTTACGCTAGATTTTTTTCCCCTGTATATCTGTATTTTTGGATCCAAATCCAGTTTTTGACAATACTTATCTTTATCAGATATTTATGAGGTTATATTAGATACATGATATCCAAAATTTTCTCCTATTCTGTGGGTTGTCTGTTCACTTTTAAACAGCATCCTCTGAAGTATAGTTTTAAAGGTTTGATGATGTCCAGGAGATTTATTTTTTTGTTCTTGCTAATACCCTTGTTGGCATATCTCAGAATCCATCGCCTTATTCCAGGTCATCAAGTTTACGCTTATGTTTTCTTCTAAAAGTTTTACAGTTTTAGCCCTTACAGGTAGGTCTTCAATTAATTTTGAGTTAATTTTTGTATACGTGTGAGGTAGGGGTGTGACCTCATTCTTTCACATGTGGAGGCCCAGTTACCTGGCATCATTTCCTGACAAGACTCTTTGTTCCTCCTCTAATTGCCTTGGTGCCCTTTCAAAAAGCAATCACCCTTAAAGTGAGGGCGATTTTGGACTCTCATTTCTATTTCATTGATCTGTGTTTTCCTTTATGCCAGTACCACACTGTCTTAGTTCCTGTAGCTCTCAAATAAGTTTTTATTTACTGTGAGTCCTCCATCTTTGCTGTTTTTAGAGATTGTTTTGGCTATTCTAGGTCCCTTGAATTGTGACATATATTTTAGGATCAACTTGCGAATTTCTACAAAGAAGCCAGCTGGGATTTTGATACAAATCTGTAGATCGAATTGGGGAGCATTGCCATCTTAGTGATATTGTCTTCCAATCCATAAACATGAGATGTCACTCCATGTATTTAGGTCTCTACTGTCTTTCAAACTGTATACATTTTTAAACTTGCATAGCAGTTAGCAAAAAGTACATAGCTTTTGGAGACTGTTTAGCATTTGCAACTACTCCTTTCATTTTTATGTAGATAAAATCACTTTCAAGGTGTTAGAAGTATAAAACATTTATAAAGAAGTACTCATTAAAATATGTTGCTTAAATAATTTCTGAAACAGAAGGGACAAACAGAAACAAACTCTAGCGAATGTATAAACTGAGAAAGTACAATGAAAAGTGTCTGACACTGTAGGGCAGGAAACCTGGGAACCTTTACTAGCTGTGTGCTTAAGCAGGCACATAATCTTGGGAAAATTATTTTACCTCTCTAGGTTTGTTTCCCCACACATAAGATGATTTTGTAATTTTTCCTTAACAGAAAATCATAGGTCTATGCTACTAAACAACAATATGGCATGAAACTGTGTATTTATTTTTAGACTAAATCTTGAGGATTAAAACATTCAAAAAATTGTTTGAAGTTAAGAAACAAAGGGGAAGATATTTATGAAAGATTTTTCCTTGCTGTAGATTAAATTATAGGAAGATATATATGGAGCTAAAATACCTGTAACAAACATGAAAGACAATTATGGGCCTTAGAGTGCAAAACTGTGGTTATGATTTATCTTCAGAATAATTAGGAAATGGACGTCATCTGTTTTAGTCAGAATTTTAATGTTAATAAATCACCTTAAAATATCCAATACAGCAAATGAAAGTCTGGGCCAATATGTGGATTACATATTTAAACTTTCTTTTTTTTAGTATTTTAAAGTAGCATCAAATCTTTGAGCTTAGGAAACTCCTAAGGTATACATGTTCAAGGCAGCCCTGACCTTCCAGTGCTCTGATATAAAGGCACATACTGCCATGTAAGAACTTAAGTACTTGGGAATTAGGACTGTTTTTACTGGTTTTTAAATCAATACTCAATAGCACCATCTACTGTTAGCGTCATGAAATTCAGTAATAGTGGAAAGAATAATTCAGATCTTCACACTGAAATGAATATAAGAAATCTAGTCTCAACTTTCAAAGCTTACAGATAAAGAATGTGAGATTTGGAAAAGATAAGTAACTTGTCAAAAGTCACAGGTTTCTTGCTAAAACGATATATACTATTGAAAACTAAAATTTCTGTAGGTGCTTCCAAAGCAAGGAAAACATGGAAAACCAATTTATCCTAGTGATCCAGTCTCTAGAGTTACACTGAGTGAGTACTCTTTTTCGCTCCAGTACTGACTATCTTTGGGAAAACTAATTACTGCTTTGAATTTTTTTTAGATCTGAAAATTGGTGACCAAAGGGCTTCTCAGGGTTTGCATGAGAAGCAGAAAAAGTAGACAGTGTATGTAAAGTACCATGCCTGATATGTGGTGATCAATCATGGTGATACTATTTGTATTCACAACTGATAGAGCTGCCTTTGAACCCAGGTCTCTCTGATTGCAGTGCCCATGTTCTTTAAACTTGATCATGACAGCCATCACAAGAGACTAGCAGTATCATACATAAAAAGTGAGACAATCCATGAATATCTGATAACATGTTGTATCAAAATATAAGCCCCAGAGGCATAGCAGAAACTTCATGGGATGATTTGACATTGGGGAGAGAAGAAAGCTAGCTTTTATCTTCAGTATTTGGAAAAGAGGTCCTTAGTTGTGTTGTTATATTGGCCAGCAAGTAGCCTCTCTTTTAGTGATGGGCCTGTACTTGTGGCCCAGGCATGGCCAGTTACAGCACCTCATTTTTCCTGGACACAGTGAATGGTCCGGAGGACATGGGATACAAAAAGAGCTGAGTCCAGAGGAGTGAGAGAAATAAGAGCTGTACACTATCTTAGATCCCATGCAAATACATTGTCCAGGTGCCTCCCTCCCAATAAAGTGTGGTGGTCATCTTTGACTGTTATCTCATGTTCCTCCACCTCCTCTTCACTTAGCAGCCGAACTCTCAAGTTTTCCACTCTTCTTTGGAGATAGGTATGACCACAGGACCTATGGGGCCTGTGGGACGTGAGCAAAATTGCTGAATGTCATTTCTGCAGTTTGATCTCAAACCATTAGTCATATGTTTTTCCATTCTCTTTTCTCCTTTCCTGCAGGCTGGGTAGCAAATGCAGCAGTAACTCAGCTTTAACCTTTAGATGAGGGCAACACCGAAGATAAACACTCTAGAGGACCTGGACAGACTAGAAAGAAATGGATTTTTACTGAGAAGTTACTCATGGGAAACACTGTGCAGGTGCAGCCTTAGATTGTAAATTCAATGCACAAGACAAAAATCCATTTAGTCTCAGCTGTAAGAAGGAATGAAGTATTGACTCATGCTCCAATGTGCATGAACCTTGAAAACATTATCCTAAGAGAAAGAAGCCAGTCACAAAAAAGTCACATATTGTATGATTCCACTTACAGGGAATGTCTGGAATAGGTACACCTAGAAACAGATTGGTGCTGGAGGGCTGGAGGAGGTGCAGGTAGTGGCTGCTAATGAGTACCAGGCTTCTTTCTGGGGTGATGAAAATATTCTGGAATTAGTAACAATGCTTGTGCAAACTTCTAAATGTACTAAAACCACTGAAATGTTCACTTTAAAACAATGAATTTTAGAGAATGCAAATCATACTTCCAAAAATCCATGTAGGCTAAATCACCCTCAAAAGTCCTTTTCAGAGTCTAATACAGCAATAGTTTTATCTTAGTTGTAAAAGTAAGTTGCCTTTAAACTCTTATTTTGGGTTGAGTACAACATAAAGTAGTATGATTGCACTGAGTAACCCTTTTATCAAAAAGTTATCCTATCACTTGAGAAATACTCAGTTGTATTAGATTCTCCCCTTAGATGAGAAGTATTCAAAGGGAATATGAGTACCCCTGGGGAACAAGAAGAATTTCCAAGAGGTGCTCAGGCAAAGAGTTTTAAGGAAATGAAATTTCCAGATCCTCAAGTTGCACCGGTTGTCTTTTCTAAATCATCTGTGGCTAAGCTGTCGCAGCTGTCATGTCCTTTGTGTCCTATCGTCTTTTCCTACCTCACATTTCTCAGCTTACTGTTGTAAGCACACCCCTCAGTCATAAATCCTTACCACGGTCAAACCCTCCGGGCGCCAAACAATCAGACCTTCGAGATACTGATGTTGGGGAAGCATTTCTGTAAACCGAGGCAGCATAAAATCAAGACGGAGCGTTGCATTTTTCCTCGCCTTGTATTTTTGGCATTTAATTTAGAAGGAATTCAAAGACTGTAGTAAAATTCCTTTCATTTACCTCTACTTCAAAGCCAAGCACTGAGAGCCACGAATGGAAGCCGGTTCAGGACTCCACTGGGCACGTAGTTGTCGGCGTCCCTCGCCTCCCCGCGGCGAAGGCGTCACCCCAGCCGGTTGAGGAGGGCGGGCGGCGCCCCCTGCCGAGCGCCGACCGAGGCCGCAGCGCGGGAGCGCCCCGTCCCCTCGTGTGACCTGGCGGCGGGCCGTTTTTTAAAGCGGAGTCGTTCAAACCCCCGCTCAGGTTAGCTCCGTTAGCAGGTGCCCCCGGCGCTCCGCGGCGCGTGCGGGGAAGCGCGGGCACCCCAACAGCTAATCGCCGCGTCTGCGTTTCCAGGGACAGCCTTCGGGCTTCCACCCCGGCCGGGCCGGCGCGGCAGGGATCCCGGTGCCGCCGTCACCTCGGCAGCGCTGACGCCGCGCGTCGGCGCAGCTGTCGATTCCCCGGGGACACGCTTGAGACTCGCGTCCCGCACAAGGTGCCTCCTTGGCTCCGCCCGCCGCGTTATAGCCCCGCCCCACCCCGCCCAGTAGGGGCCCGCCCGTCGCCCCACTTCCGGCGCCAGCCTCCCTACCGGCCTCCGTCGCTTCTCACTTCTCTCTGCGGGTGCCCTTCTCTCGCCCCTATCGTCGCCTCCGACGCGGTCACGTGAGGGGCCGACGCGAGGCCTGCCGGGACGGGTCGGCCGCTGGGTCAGGGTTCGGCCCCAACATGGCGGTCCCAGCCGGGTGGTGACTGCGGTTTGGCCGTCGGGAGGCCTCCCTGGCGGTTGTCGGCGCGTCCTCCTCTGGGTGGAATGCAAGATCGCCGGGGCGAGCGCTGAGGAGGCCGTGACGCGGCGGGGGCCGTGCGTTCCGTTGGTCCCAGGGCTTTAGTGCGAACCCCGCCCGGCCGGGCCAGGCCGGCGGGCGGCGGCTGCGGCCTCTGCGGCCGCGGGGTGGGCGCCGCCCTGCCTCTGCCACGGCCATGGCCCAGTGCGTGCAGTCCGTGCAAGAACTCATCCCGGACTCCTTCGTGCCCTGCGTGGCCGCGCTGTGCAGCGACGAGGCGGAGCGGCTCACGCGCCTCAACCACCTGAGCTTCGCGGAGCTGCTGAGGCCCTTCTGCCGCCTCACCTCCGAGGGTATGTGGGCCGCCCCACCGCGCCGGCAGGGAACGGGAAGCGGGGGGCGAGGGCTGCGTCGCGGAGCTGCTGCTGGCGGCCCCTAGGGCCGGAGGACAAGCCCGAGGGGAGCCCTGCGCCGCGCGGCCCTACCCCAGGTCTGCGGGCGAGCTCCTTCCGCGCACAGGCGGAGCTCTTAGGAGATTTGTGAAGGAGGGAAGTGGAGTCGGGAAGCTGCGCGGGAGGTGCGGGACGGAAGGGGCTGCCTCTTGGACCCATGGAGGTCGCAGTAAGGCGAGGCGTCCTTGCCTGGGCGGTAACTGGACTTCCAGAGTTGTCTTAAGTACATCCTTCTACCCATAAGGCTCATCTTCTTTTAAGCTATCCTGTTATTTTGCTTTTTTCTTTGAAAATCTAGGCCTTTTTTTAGGTCTATAACATAACAGTCTCTCAAGGAAATAAAACGTTATAGAAATAACAAAATTTGCAGCTGCCTTTTGGCTGATGGACGAGGACGTTAAGACAAATTGTAGTTAGTTTAACGTAGATTTCATAGGGATGGAAAAGGCCTGAAATGTACTTTTTCAGATAAAAGTATAACCAGCAGGAGGAATGTGACTCTGAATGAGGAGCTACATGTTTAACTAGCTTTGGAGACTATTGGGGAAAAATGAGCGTAATAAAACTCCCAAGTATGTTTAGACTAATATCTTTACCTGTACTTTGCAAACAGAGCATAGCAAAGTGTAGGTAAAATTCTATGCAAAGTGAATGTTTCTACAGTCAAGTTGTGTCAAAGGAACGACTGTGATGTTTATTTGGTTGTGATGACTTCTCCACAAAAAAACAGTACCGCACTGTAAATTGATGTACATGCCACAGGTGTGCACTTTTTGGGGAAGTATAGCGCTATTTTAAGTTCAGCATTTAAAGGAGAGAGGGAGCTGTCCAAAAAATAAAGTTTGAAGCTGTTGGATCTCTTGGGAACTCAGCATGTACCTTAGCCATCAATCCCAGCTCCTCAGTATTGTACTAAATCAACAAGCACAAATTGTCCCACACTTTTAGATTCTTTACACAAGGCACATGAGAGCTAGTCTGACTTTAAAATATGTGCTCTTTCCTGCTTTCTTTAAATAAAGAATAATACCTGATACCTGCTTTACTTGGCTTTTCCCTTTTAGCCCCCACTGAATCCTATAAGGTAGATACTGTTACCACTATTTAAAATCTGAAGTCATTGAGGTATAGAGATGTTAACCTGTCTGCAGTCTTACTTGTGGGAAAGATTTAAAAGCAGGCAGTGTGACTCAAGTGTTTTTTATTGTCATCCTATCTCCTGGCATTATTTAATCATTCATCTTAGAGAGCAGTGCTGTCAGTACAAATAAAATGTGAGTCACATATGTAATTAAAAATTATTTAGTAGTCACATTGTGAAAAATTAAATAGAAGCAGGCAAAATTAATTTTGATAGCGTATCTTATTTAGCCAGTATTTACAAACTGTTAACCATTTCAGCATGTAATCAATACGAAAAATTTTAATGAGATATTTTACGTTCTTTTTTTATGGCCAAGTCTTTCAAATTTGGTGTGCATTGTACACCTAACATTACACCTCACTTGGGACTATACATATTTCAGGTGCTGAATAGCCACACATGGCTGGCATCTTCTGTACTGGTGGGTGCAGTGAGTGGAGGCTCAAACCTGTATTCTGGCTTCTCCTCTTAGACTGAAACATGTAGGGAAGCAGTGTAATGAGTAGGACTTTGAGGCTAGGTGGAGAGCCTGTGGGATGGAAGAGGACCAACATTGCTGGTCAGAAGGGAGGGGCATGAGGTTTGAGTGGTAGAGGCAAAAAGTATAATTTTGAGTGGCTTTAGTGATTGGGAACAGTGAGGAAACTATTACTGGACTACAGGAAGGTAATGGATGATGCCTGGATAAGGGAGGATATTGAATTCTAGGGAAGTAATTTTGGATTTCATATCTAATGGTAAATGTGTGGCAGTTGTAGATTCTTGAGCAACGATATAAAATTTTAGATTGTGGTTTTTAAGGATAGAGAAGAAGTGATAAACATTTAAAGGTTGAATATGGTTAGGACATAGACCATGGTAGTGGCATTGAAAGTTGGTGAAAAAGACTTAATTTTTCTATAGTTTAGTTTTTTTGAGGGTAAATCTTGGGGCTGGCTCTTTACCATCCAGAAAAGACTGCTTTTTTGTCTGAAGCAGGAGGATTCCTCAAAGATAGCTTATCCTTAGGCAGTGGGGCAAGAGAATATGACTCCAGGCAACCTAATTTAAGAATACAACTAACTAAAACAAGCTTAGAGGAAAAAAGAATGTTAGAAAAATGACTGGACTCCATTTCTGACCTGTGAGTATGCTCTTATTTGAGGTCAAAACTTGCTGTGACTACTGAGATATCAATGTACAATGTTCAGTATTTTCAGGGGACTTATTTTTAAATTTTATTAGAAAAACACATAGTTTAAAAAGGGAGGGTTGATAGGTCAAATTTGACACCATCCCTTAGTAGGGCCTTGAAAATAGTTTTTAGATTTGATGTTTAGGCAATGGAGAGCCATTCTAGGTTCCTTGGACACATTTTTAAAAACCTGAAGTATATCCTTTTATATTAAATGTTTATTGTATATATTTGATCATTATGCTAGGTAAATGAGATTTAGACACATTATTGCAACACAAATTTTGTGAACCTAATACTGCTTGAGAAATTTCTCCTGACCATCTCTTTCAAAGAGTAGTAGTGATAACATATTACTTAATCAAACCTTACTGTTTTTGCTGTCATGGTGGTAGTTTCTTGATATTTCTGAACAGTCTTTCAGCATATCATGTAGACATTTATAAGATTTAAGAAAATTTCACTTTTATTTTAAAAAAATATTGGGCTGTCATTTTTAAAAGATATACTATTATTTTAAAGTTGATTACATTTATTTAGGAGTTTGAAAAGGTAAGAATAGAATGCAGTTTTTATGTAAATCTTTAATGTTTTCTGAATGAACTAGCAAAAGTGGCAAATTGGAACAGGAAATGATCCTTGAAGAATAGTTAATGTCTCCAGTTTCAGTAAGTTTCTTTAAAAAAGTTATAAATATTTCATCAATCTTAACTACCATGTTGGTATAACCAGGTAATCAACCTATAAGTTTTTTAAGTATCAAACTTTGAATAAAATTTAAGTTGATGTTTCAAAATTTAGATACATGTGTTTGTTTCACTTTTGTGCAAGTTACTTTTTTCAGCAATTAAGGTTTTCTTTGTAAAGTTTTGTGTGCTAGGTAAAAATGTAAAAGATACATTATTTCATTTTTCAAAGTATATTTCAGAGAACATCGGATGTGTTATATGCTCCCTGTAAACAAATTTGTGGTCAGATAAATTTGCTTAATATAGTATGTGTTTGGAAGAATTACAGTGCGTGTAGCAGTTTTAGGTTCACAGCAAAAGTGAGCAGAAAATACAGAGAGTTTCCATATAACTCATGTTCCAACATGGTCACAGCCCCCTTCACTATCAACATCACACACCAGAGTGGGCATTGATTTTTATGCTGGTGGGGTAGGGGCTGAGAATGCAGACCGCACACTTGAGGAAGCAGAGGGAGTCTGCACACAGCCTTTAGTTCCCCTTTCCTCCCGTTTGCTGTTTCAGTGTTGACACCACAGACCTCACAGGTCACCCTGCCCTAGACCAGCGTTAGGGGGAAGGGAATTAGTGATTTGGTAGTTGGATGGATGGGAGCTGGTCCCTGGCAACTCCAAACATGGGGGATGGAAAGGACCTACAGTCGGAAGGTTATGAGCAGCAGCACTGTGGGAGGAGGTCGGATGGTCAGATACCCTTTCGGTATGTTAAGGAATATTTTAAGTCAGTTGTATTTCTGGAAGACTGTTTCACTTGGAATTTTTGGTTTCTGCTTTGTGGGAATTTCTGGTTTCTGATTTGAGCATCCTTTTTGTGTAAGCTAGTAACACAATTTTTTACTATTATAGTTGGGTTGTTATGCTTGTCTATAATTTATTTTAGGTTTTTTCCTTTTTTTTTTTAAGTTCATATGAGAGATCCCAATAATCAGCTTCACATAATTAAAAATTTGAAGATCGCAGTAAGCAACATTGTCACCCAAGCACCTCAGCCTGGAGCCATTCGGAAGCTTTTGAATGATGTCGTTTCTGGCAGTCAGCCTGCAGAAGGATTAGTAGCTAATGTGATTACCGCAGGAGATTATGACCTCAACATCAGTGGTATGTAATAAAATTTATTAATATTATTTTCTGGATAAAGTTTTTTTGTCTTGCTAGAAGAAGTAGTTCTGTATCTTGGAAGTCATTTGACAAGTGTTTACTGAGTG